TTTTCTAAGCAAAAACAAGCTTTTTGAATTAAAAATCTTCCTGGATGGAAGAAAAATGTCTTCAGACTTGGAAACAAAGTCCAGTGGATTGATTTGAACTTTTTTTGGAATGACTGAGAATCTTAACCAGCATAAAGGTATTAAAGGAATCAGCCAAGTTTAAGCCTCCAGCTTTAAGACAGATTTACATAAATAATGTGTTTTGTTTTTCCATAAGAACTCAGATTTACAAACTGAATTATCCAGATAGAGACGGGAGGTTCAGGGAAGACGGGATAAACCTTGGAGAGCAGAACTCCACCTCTTAAGCACAGAAATCTTTAACCAGATATTAAATATCTGTTTGGATTTTTCCAGGATTGGTTTAAAGCTAATAACATTTCTGTTCATAATATCAGTGATATTGTTGCCCAGATATGTAACAGAATCCACAGCAGGTGTGTCAGAGATGCAGAGTGTGAGAATTTATGCACCCATAATAAATCCACCATAAAGGGGAGGAGCCAGAGGAAGCTGCATCATCAGCCAACTGGTTAATGGAAATAATTAGACCTGCAGTCTCTATGAAATAGATATACAGACAGTGGAACACATCTACTGAGACTAGATCTAGGAGATGAACCAAAAGGTAATGCTGCTATAACCTTCTGCATACGGAGTCTGAACACATCTATAGAAAAAATCACCAAAACCTAAACTTTTAAGTTTAGTCAGCATGAATTTCATTAAACTATTAACCTGCATGAGTTCAGAATAATCCAGATTATTTAAAATTTAGATTATTAGAAATGTAGCCTTTTTTTGGTAGAACCAGACTGGCTTTCATCAATGATTGAATTATAATAGATTTAATTCTATTTCCTAATATTATCACTAAAATGCTGCAATCATGGCTTAACAATTGGTCGCCAGCTGCCTAGAAGGAGACGGTTTAATGGTTATTTTTGACTGTTGCCTCTCTGGTCTAAAGAAGCATGCAGAGTTCTACTCCACCATTATCTATGTGATCAGCTCTGCTTTTATAGATCCCATCCAGTCTGAGCTGCAGCTCGCTAAGTTCTGCTTTTTCATTAGAGTCCAAAGAATCAAGTTTAGAAGAAAAATCTTTTTTTAAGCAATTGCTGCTAAATTTGCTGGGAAACATTTTCCAGGT